CCACTCTCAGCAAAACAAATTAATGCTGTCCCCAAGCCGGAGATGCACAGCCCAGCTCTGGCTCTGCGGGCCCTGCGCAGAGGGCAGCTCAGCCTTCCTGGGATGGGACTGAAGCCAGAATACAGTTTTAATTTTGAGGGGAGCCAGTGTGGAGGGACTCTGTGGGCACTGAGGGATGGTGGGTGTGCTGGTGCTGTGTTCAGGGAGGGGAGAGCTGCCCAGAGCCGTGCACTGCAGAGAGCCCAGGTGCTCACCCTCCTCCTCTCCCGCAGCCCCTGCTCACCTGGCCGACAGCATCCACAAGAAGAAGCACACGCGCCCAACCTTCACAGGGCACCAGATCTTCGCTCTGGAGAAGACTTTTGAGCAGACCAAGTACCTGGCGGGTCCAGAGAGAGCACGGCTGGCCTATTCCCTTGGCATGACTGAGTCTCAGGTGAAGGTGAGTGTGGGTCCCCACATGGCATGGGGCGTGTGGCATGGTGGCTGCTAACTGAGCCGGTCCCGTGGGGCGGCAGGTCTGGTTCCAGAACCGACGGACCAAATGGAGGAAGAAGAGCGCCCTGGAGCCCTCCTCGTCCTCGCAGCGTGTAGGGGGCTCTGGCGGAGAGCGGGCAGCCTCTGAGACTGAGGACGACGAGTACAACAAGCCCCTGGACCCCGACTCAGATGACGAGAAGATCCGGCTGCTGCTGAGGAAGCACCGCGCAGCCTTCTCGGTGCTGGGCTTGGGCACGCACAGTGGCTGAGCGCTGGCATAGCCCGCCCCTCTGGGCCATGGGGCGCCCGGCCTGGCCACCTGCTTCCTGCCAGGGGGGTGACCCCCCCAGCAGATGCCTGGCTGTGGGGATGGAGTGGTTGCCGCCCGGCCCCCGGTGGCTCCTGCCCAGGGATCATGGCTCGCAGGGCTGGGAGCAGCACGTGTGGGCAGTGTCAGGCATGGCCGTGCTGTCGGCATTGATGAAATAAAGGTCCCAGCCCCAGCCAAGTCCCAGCGCTTGCTTCGCGGGCGTGCGGTCCAGGGTGCCCTCATGAGGCTGGGCCAGAGAAGGGGCTGGGATAGCACGTATGGGGCAGGGTCTGCGTGGCAGGCAGGGGAAGGGGCCGTGGCTGTGGTGCTGTGTGTGGGGCAGGAAGAGCCCACAGGAGCGGGGCCAGCCCTGGGGATGTTTCCCAGGGTTTTTCCTGGTTTGGGCGTGTACTGGCAGCAAGAGGTGCTGGTTCAAAAGTCACTCGTTGGGGCCTCTTGTTGGAACCTATTAGCAGCAAATAAATATCATTTATCTTAACGGTGTGAGTGAGAGCCCATTCACCTGTCAGGGCTGTAGGATTGATGTGGTGTCAATAGCCCTGGTGTGTTTGCTGTCAACCTGGTGTGGCCCCCCCCCCCGCCCCCCTCTGGGGCTGCACCCCTGGGCCGTGGGAGTTGCACACAGCACCCCTGTGCAGTGGGAGTTGCACACACGCACAGGTGTGTGCATGTGGGTCTGCACACTCCCTCCTCTGGCTCCCCATGGCTTGACCCTTGCACACTAATGGTGGGTGCCACATAGGGCTGTCTGTCCCCAGCCGCTCAGGATGCCAAAGGGACTCTTGCTGGCACAGGCACACCGCTGGGGGCCTGGCAAGCTTGGCAGTTGTTCAGCTGAGAGCCAACTAAGTGCCAGCCAGGTGTGAGCAAACAGACTGGCTGTGTCCTGGGAGGAAATCGATAGGAGATAAGGTGCTGCCGGCCCATCATATACTGATTAGCAGTGTGGCACAGGCGTGGAGGAGGTGCTGGGGGCTGTAACCCAAGCTGCCCTCCCCTGTGGCTGCAGGCAGCATCTGAGGACAGGCCAGTGGCCAAGTCCACCCCTGGGGATGGCCAAAGCCCCTGAAGCACTGAGGCTTTGCAGTGGCCCCGAGCACCAGCCTTGTGGTGAGGAGCCACAGCGTGGGGCTGCAGACCATCACCGTGTGACCCATCTGCCTGGGCCCGGAGGCCCACATTTGGCTTCAAGTCTTCTCCGATCTGTCACTTTCCGCCACACGCTGGGCTGGGGGGACTTTGCAAGGAGCCCTGATCACTTGGCAGCACTTTCCCAGGGCTTAGGAAAGACTGCTCACCGCCCCCCATAGGTCCCTGTCCAGCCCCCAGCGAGTGTGGGGCTCGTAACACTTTCCCCTCAGCCATGCAGCCCCTCTCCTGTCTTGATGGGACAAATGCCAGTGGGTGGCAGAGCTGATGGACCCTTTGCAAGGATGTGGGAGGCCAGGTCCCACAGGCAGTGTGGTGCACAGGGCTGGCGCAGAGGCTGCGTGCCCCACGCGCCCCGGCCCCGTGGCAGGGCTGGGAGAGCCACGTCACCATCCGTGGGCAGAACCAGTGCTCAGCAGGAGCAGGCTCAGCACAGCGGGAGAAGTGTGGGGCTGCTGTTGGGATATTTTTTTGACATTTTCTAAGCTGCCCAGCGTGGCTGACAATTTTTAATGTACTAACTGCCTGGTCCAGTGAGCTGATTAATTGGTGCTGTGAAGATCAATACAAAACAGAAAATTAAAACAATTTTAAAGTGATTAAGTAGTTTAACACCTGTCTGATGCCACGTCAGGGCTGGGAGACAAATAAAGCAGGTGGCAAAGGGCCTGCTGCAGCTGGGGAGAGTGACAAATCGCAGCCACAGCCTGGCTGCCTTGTGCATCCCTGCAGCTGGACAGGTCCCCTGAGCAGTGCTGCTCTGCGCAGGGCCCCAGGGCAGTGGCCAGGACCACCCTCCTCTCCTGCCCACTCTGCCCACCACTGCTCCTCTGGTCCTGCTTCCTGCACAGATGGCACCGGCTACTTGCTGCTGGGGCTTGCTGCAGCAGAGTGGTCCCCTGCCAGCACTGGGGTCTCACAAGGCATATGGAGCCTGGTCAACAGCAAGCACCAGCTCTGCCCTCCCCAAACCCACCTGGTGTGCCGGGGCCTGCCTGGGGCTGGGCAGCCCTGGGGCATGCGGGCAGGGCTCCCACCGAGCATGTGGCAGAGCTTGGGGCTGGCTGCTCCAGGGGCGTGTGGGTGCGAGCACAGGCAGGGCGGCCTGGCAGGCAGATGGATAGCAGCTCCGCTTCAATTCTGCATCCCTTTTCTCCCAGACAAACCCCGTCGGATTTTCATAAATCAAAGCGCCACACTGTTTAATAAAAATTTATTGACTTACAAGTGATTATTTATCAAAAGGCCATTAATAGCGGCTCCGGGAATGATGTGCTACTGGGTGGTACGGGGAGACTAATAGCAAATCAATGCCAGCATCCGGGCAGAATGCATATGAGGGCCCCTGGCCCCAGTGGGCTGCATGGTTGCTGCAGCCAGAGCCAGCAGCCCCTACCCTGTGGGCCGCCCAGCGCTCCCCCCAGTTATTTATCGCTTACAAATGAAATGATCGATACTTTTAATCTAGAGCTAAATTTATTAACTTTCCCATCGGAGAGAGACATATTGACTGGGAGCATGGGGAGGGGGAGCCGAGGAAAGATGGATGTGTGCCTCCTAACCTGTCCAGCCAGCTCCCTGCCTGCTGCAGAGCATCCTGGCAGCAGCAGGGCTGCTGGGGATGGTCCCCGAGCACAGCAGGGTGGTTGGAGGTCCCGCAGAGCTGGGGAGGTGGGCAGGCAGGGGAGGGCTCCTGCAGATCACCATGGCATCTGAGACAAGGGCCGGGGGAGCAAGCCGTGGGCAAAAGGCGTGTGGGCACCTGCAGCCAGGTCCAAGTGCCTGGGGGTGCAGCTGAAGGCACCGGAGCGTGTGTGAGGCCTGCCCTGGGGAGAGCCCCTGCCCATGCTTGCAGCAGCTGTGGAGCAGTGTTTGCACAGCCTGAAGAGACGAGAGCTCTGGGTGCACAGCCCTGGAGGACAGGAAGGGTGTGGGTGAGTGCTTGGGAGCGTGCTGCTGGCTGGGGAAAGGCGAGAGCCTGGAGACCCGGACCGGGCCAGGGGGCACAGGCAGGCAGCGATGCCCATGGCCCCAGCCCAGCACCATGTCCCCGGCTGCAGCTCAGCATGTGGGAAAGGGGCACTCACAGGACCCAGCAAGCACGGCACTGCCTGGGCACCCCATGGCTTTCTGGGGCTGGGGCACCCCCAGAGCCAGCCAGACCATGACACGGCGGGGAGGGGGGGGGAGCTTAGTCCAAACGGCCCCCTGAGGAAGGGAAAAGCTTTGCAAGCCTTGGGGCCAGAGCAGCAAAGCTCAGTCAGGCCCAACTGGAGCTGAGTCAGGCCATCACCCCCAGCCAGAGGCTGCCAGGGCTGCCGTGGAGGTCAGCGATAGCTTTTTGGGCAAGCATGTGACTCAAGCAGGAACTGGAGCAAATACAGCTCAGAAAAATGTTATGATTAAATGGTATAGGCAAGTACTACAGGGTAACACACACCTGCTTGGTAACTGAAGCTTAACTATGCTACAGGTTAACTCCCATAAGGCATATGCTGTACCCAGCATTTCTTATACAACTAGAAGATGATAGTCAAAAACTCTGCATAAATGTAACAGCTGCCAAGGGGATAAGGGTTGCGCTTTTCTTTTTCTTTTTTTCTTTTCTTTTCTTTTCTTTTTTTTTTTTATTAAATAGCAAAGCGGCAGCCCCATCAGTTAATGGACACAGATGTAGGATTGGTGAACTGGTGTTAGGAGCTGTACCTAATAAGTTGGGTAAAACAAGTAAACCAAAATGCTGCGGACTAGACCCTTAATGCCATAATAAACTCCTAATGAAGGAGGGGGTCCTAGCCTGGGTAACTGAGATATCTATTAGTAATGAGCAATTGTTTTGTCTTCCATTGGTAGCACAGGAGCATAAGCAATACGCTTCCACCCTGTAGATGTTAACTATCTCCTGCTTGGCTTCAGTTGCTTTTGTTTCGTTATCTTAGGTGGAAAGGAAAAGATGCCAGGCTTTGCTGCTTTTTCTCTCCCCCCCGATCAATTGCCATAGCTGAAGTTGGGCAGAAGACAAGAATAAGAAATTGGGGTAACAATGCAAAGCATGGGGCCAATAAGGGTGTCTCCATCACAAAACAAGAACAGCCTGGTTTCTCTTGGCGAGGCTGGGTGTTAACGATGATCGTGTGTAACAGATCACCGATAATTGAATGCAACGTTTGTGTAGGTAATGTGTCTCTGTGTGTGTGTGTATATTTATAAAGGATCGTATTTTGAGCACTACAAGAAGCAAAGGTAAATCAATTCAGTATAGAAATATTTCCCATAGCTGTACGTTAACAGATCACATGCTATTAAGTGTAGCTTTACATCGCTGTAAGGAAGACTGTCCCCTCTCAGGTACTGTACTGGGAACAGTTTATTTGTGCATAAGTTGATGGTCCTGGGGTAGGTGGAAAGTAGCACACTGTGGAAAATGGGGTTCCTCAGCTATGAGGACAAGTTGTGCATAACCTGCTTGCACATTTTCTGTGTGCAGGTAAAGATGACCTAACTGACCCAAAAGAAGGGTTTTGAAGCCACTAACAATGTGAAGCAGGGAGGCCGCACAGAACTGAATAATTTACGTGAGGGTATGTGCATTATGTCTCTTGGGAAAGGTTACGGGAGTTTCTGGACTCTCTCTCTGTTGCTTTCTTTTCTCTGTCTCTCTTTCTTGATATAATGGTGTTTTACCCAAATAAAAACAAGCAGGAAGTAAACCACCTTGAATCCATGTTGGTAGCTAGTGCAGGGAAATTCAAACTTAAGGACACTTACACAGAATAGCTGTCCTGACCT